CAGTCCATCCCCAAGCGTCCCTTCTTGGGATGTGCAGTGCCTTGTGCACTTGCAGGTCCCCAGGTCCCTTGTAAAACTGCAGTGAGTGCAATAGAGATGATACTGAATGGTGAAATGTGCAGACAAGCCATGTTGGTAAGAAGCAGGCTGTCATGGTGGCAGCAGTGAGAAGAAAAACCACATGGCAAGTGGCTATGTCATTTTGTTCCCTTGAAAAGAGAAAAAATGCTAAATCCCCACATCCAGGACCTATGACATACTGCCACATATGACATACTGGAATGGCTGGTGGGTTCTAACCACCAACTTTTTGGTTAGCAGCCAAGCACTTTAACCACTGTACCACCAGTGTTCCTTTCTGTAAAGATTATAGCCAAGAAAACCCTAAGAAGTTCTACTTTGTAACACGTGGGGTCACCATGAGTCAGGGGCCGACTCGATAGCAGCTAACAAAAAGAAGGTTGCAGTTTATGCCAAAAACCACCTTAGTCCTCTTAAGTTCCTAGGTGTAACTCCTTTCTACATCAGGCTACTATGGTGTAGTTCTATTCTGTCTTATAGGGTCGTTATGAGTCGGGATCGACTTGATGGCAATAGGTTATAGAAAGGAGACAAAATCCTTTTGGAATCCTTAGTCTACACATGAGCATTCTAAAATGTAAAAAGAATAAGAAATGACGTAATACCATGTTCTACCTCATCTTTTGTCCTAAATAAGATTTTATATTTCATACTGAATGATTATGACTATGATGCTATCAATGTGTATAAGGTTGAAAATTCTCCACATTTAAAATAAGACACCAAACATAGATTAACCTAATTCTGGTTTTCATTTTAAATGAGAAAGCTCTCAAAACAGATTTCCCTAAGATATACCTATATCATTTTCAAATTATAGGAAGACGGTATCCTTACACACAGGAGTAGAAATCTAGCTTTTAACATCAATCTGTGCATAATTCACTTCCAAAATGGGAAAGCAAAAAATGTGCATTTTTATTGATTCTGGCTATAAGGTGAATTGCATCTGTTGGATAGAATGCTGGGATTTTTACCTCTTCCTTCATGATCAACTATAGTCATATCTGCCTTTGCCTTGGCTAATTTTTCCATTGACAATTCATGGCCCAGCTCTGCAGCTCTCATAGTTGGAGTACAGCCCATTCGGTCTTGCACATCAGGGTGAGCACCAAGGTCGAGAAGAAAGCTGACCATATCAACATCATTGGAAACTGAGGCTAAGTGCAGAGCACTGTGGCCATTGACAGGTTCAGTGAAATTGATTAGTTCAGGGTATCCAAGCTTGGTCAACTTCTCTATCTGCTTCTTGTCTTTGTTCCGAACACACTGAAGAACTTTGTAGATCTGCAAGTTCTCAAGTCTCTTATCTGCTAAAGCCATACTTGTCCAACTTCTTTAAAATGCTTTCTGGACCAAAGCAAAAACTACAACAGCCAAAAAAGAAAACATATAACTCAAAGTTAGTTTTATCATTTACGTTTTGATTCAATGACATATTTCTCTTTTATTGTACTTTAGATGAAGGTTTACAGAACTAGCTTCTCATTAAACAATTTGTAGCGTATTGTTTTGTGATATTGGTTAACAACCCCACAACATGTCAACATTCTCCCCTTCT